AGAAGAGCCCTAATAATAAAACTCCATTTATAGTTCCACATATGAAACCATTATTTAGAAGAGCCCTAATAGTAAAACTGCATTTATAGTTCCACATATATAACCATTATTTAGAATAGCTCTAATCGTAAAACTCCATTTATAGTTCCTCATATAAAACCATTATTTAGAAGAGCCCTAATAGTAAAACTCCATTTATTGTTCCATATATAAAACAATTATTTAGAAGAGCCCTAATAATAAATCTCCATTTATAGTTCCACATATAAAACCATTATTTAGAAGAGCCCTAATGGTAAAACGGCATTTATAGTTCCACATATAAAACCATTATTTAGAATAGCCCTAATAGTAAAACAACATTTATTGTTCTATATATAAAACCATTATTTAGAATAGCCCTTATAGTTAAACTGCATTTATAGTTCCACATATGAAACCATTATTTAGAAGAGCCCTAATGGTAAAACGCCATTTATAGTTCCACATATAAAACCATTATTTAGAATAGCTCAAATAGTAAAACTGCATTTATAGTTCCACATATGAAACCATTATTTAGAAGAGCCCTAATTTTAAAACTCCATTTACAGTTCCACATATAAACCGTTATTTAGATGTGTTCTAATAGTAAAACTCCATTTATAGTTCCACATATATAACCATTATTTAGAATAGCTCTAATCGTTAAACACCATTTATAGTTCCACATATGAAACCATTATTTAGAGGAGCCCTAATAGTAAAACTGCATTTATAGTTCCACATATGAAACCATTATTTAGAAGTGCCTTAGCTGTAAAACTCTATTTATAGTTCCACATATGAAACCATTATTTAAAAGAGCCCTAAAAGTAAAACTCCATTTATAGTTCCACATATTATTTAGAAGAGTTCTAATAGTAAAACTGCATTTATAGTTCCACATATAAAACCATTATTTAGAATAGCTCTAATAGTAAAACTCCATTTACAGTTTCACATATAAAACCATTATTTAGTATAGCTCTAATAGTAAAACTCTATTTAGAGTTCCACATATAAAACCATTATTTAGAATAGCTCTAATAGTAAAACTCCATTAATAGTTTCACATATAAAACCATTATTTAGAAGAGCCCTTATAGTAAAACTGCATTTATAGTTCCACATATAAAACCATTATTTAGAATAGCCCTAATAGTAAAACTCCATTTACAGTTTCACATATAAAACCATTATTTATATAGCTGTAATAGTAAAACTATTATTTAGAAGAGCCCTTATAGTAAAACTGCATTTATAGTTCAACATATAAAACCATTATTTAGAATAGCCCTAACAGTAAAACTCCATTTACAGTTTCACATATAAAACCATTATTTAGTATAGCTGTAATAGTAAAACTCTATTTAGAGTTCCACATATAAAACCATTATTTAGAATAGCTCTAATAGTAAAACTCCATTAATTGTTTCACATATAAAACCATTATTTAGAAGAGCCCTAATAGTAAAACTGCATTTATAGTTCCTCATATAAAACCATTATTTAGAAGAGCCCTAATAGTAAAACTGCATTTATAGTTCCACATATATAACCATTATTTAGAATAGCTCTAATCGTAAAACTCCATTTATAGTTCCTCATATAAAACCATTATTTAGAAGAGCCCTAATAGTAAAACTCCATTTATTGTTCCATATATAAAACAATTATTTAGAAGAGCCCTAGTAATAAAACTCCATTTATGATTCCACATATGAAACCATTATTTAGAAGAGCCCTAATAGTAAAACTGCATTTATAGTTCCAAATATATAACCATTATTTAGAATAGCTCTAATCGTAAAACTCCATTTATAGTTCCTCATATAAAACCATTATTTAGAAGAGCCCTAATAGTAAAACTCCATTTATTGTTCTATATATAAAACAATTATTTAGAAGAGCCCTAATAATAAAACTCCATTTATAGTTACACATATCAAACCATTATTTAGAAGAGCCCTTATAGTAAAACTGCATTCATAGTTCCACATATAAAACCATTATTTAGAATAGGCCTAATAGTAAAACTCCATTTATTGTTCCATATATAAAACCATTATTTAGAATAGCCCTAATAATAAAACTCCATTTATAGTTCCACATTAAACCATTATTTAGAAGAGCCCTAATGGTAAAACAGTATTTATAGTTCCACATATAAAACCATTATTTAGAATAGCCCTAATAGTAAAACTCCATTTATTGTTCAATATATAAAACCATTATTTAGAATAGCCCTTATAGTAAAACTGCATTTATAGTTTCACATATGAAACCATTATTTAGAAGAGCCCTAATGATAAAACGCCATTTATAGTTCCACATATGAAACCATTATTTAGAAGAGCCCTAATTTTAAAACTCCATTTACAGTTCCACATATAAACCATTATTTAGAAGAGTTCTAATAGTAAAACTCCATTTATAGTTCCACATATATAACCATTATTTAGAATAGCTCTAATCGTTAAACACCATTTATAGTTCCACATATGAAACTATTATTTAGAGGAGCCCTAATAGTAAAACTATTATTTCCACATATAAAAACCATTATTTAGAATAGCCCTAATAGTAAAACTCCATTTACAGTTTCACATATAAAACCATTATTTAGTATAGCTGTAATAGTAAAACTCTATTTAGAGTTCCACATATAAAACCATTATTTAGAATAGCTCTAATAGTAAAACTCCATTAATAGTTTCACATATAAAACCATTATTTAGAAGAGCCCTAATAGTAAAACTGCATTTATAGTTCCTCATATAAAACCATTATTTAGAATAGCCCTAATAGTAAAACTCCATTTACAGTTTCATATATAAAACCATTATTTAGAATAGCTCTAATAGTAAAACTCTATTTATAGTTCCACATAAAAATCCATTATTTAGAATAGCCCTAATAGTAAAACTCTATTTACAGTTCCACATATAAACCATTATTTAGAAGAGTTCTAATTGTAAAACTCCATTTATAGTTCCACATATAAAACCATTTTTTAGATGGGCCCTAATAGTAAAACTCTATTTACAGTTCCACATATAAAACCATTATTCAGAAGAGTTCTAATTGTAAAACTCCACTTATAGTTCCACATAAAAACCAATATTTAGAATAGCTCTAATAGTAAAACTCCATTTATAGTTCCACATATGAAACCATTTTTGAGAAGAGCCCTAATAATAAAACTCCATTTATAGTTCCACATATATAACCATTATTTAGAAGAGCCCTAATAGTAAAACTGCATTTATAGTTCCATATATAAAACCATTATTTAGAATAGCTCTAATAGTAAAACTGCATTTATAGTTCCACATATATAACCACTATTTAGAATAGCTTTAATAGTAAAACTCTATTTACATTTCCACATATAAAACCATAATTTAGAAGAGTTTTAATAGTAAAACTCCACTTATAGTTCCACATATGAAACCATTTTTTAGAAGAGCCCTAATAGTAAAACTCCATTTATAGTTCCACATATAAAACCATTATTTACCATAGATAAAAACACCATTTATAATTCCTCTCGTAAAACCATTATTTTGCATAGACATAATAGTAAAACTCCTTTTGTAGTTCCTCATACGAAGCCATTATTTAACATATCCATAATATTAAAACTTTGTTTGTAATTCCTCATATAAAACCATTATTTAGCATAGATGTAATTTCAAGACACTTAAAAAATTTAGATCTCAGTTTCAATTCAATATCTTCAATAAATATTTTTCTGCCTTTTATTTATTTGAAAATATAAACATTATAAAACTTTTTGCAGCATCTTTCTGTACCTTAAATATTATTTAACCCATTTTATCCTTATTTTGTATTTAAACATGCAATGTTCTCAAAATGGAGGACATTATTCCTATTTCTGTCATCCCTTTTACTGTCTAAAAATTTGATGATTGTTATTCGAAATAGTTTTTAGATACAGGAAAGCACTACAAGCATTAGACATCATTTAAACCATTGTAACAAAGTGCAAATGAATGCGACCAATCATTTTTTATTATAAGATCTTTAATAACAAAAATATTTTATCTGTCAAATATTTATCTTCCATGAACTAATTCCATTAATGTCTTTTTTTATAGCTCTATTTTGAAGTTCAAGATCAAAATTATTTTGGTTACGTTACAAAATCTCTATTATTAAAAGTACATATCTGTATTAATTATTAAATAATTCATATATATATATATATATATATATATATATATATATATATATATATATGTATAAATTCTTTATATAATATAATTACATTAAAAGTAATAAATATCAATCAAACAACACACACATTTTTCTTTTCTGATTTTGGTCATTTATATCCTGACGATTATATGCAAAATAGTTTTATTATTTATATAAATGACATCATATATGGCATCATTATATATCATTCCTGAATATCTAATAATAATATTATTTGAAAATTTTTCATAATTTTCTCAAAATAAAATACATATCTTTTTTCCATTATACAATTTGTATAATTAAATATAATTGAGTTGCATTTACATTTGATTTATATGTAAAATGCCAAAACTGGATATTATCATTCAATGATTGTATGAAATGCTAAAAAATTGACATTAGCAAACAAACCTTACATAAAATACTAATAATGGATAATATCATTGTTTGAATTACGTAAGTCATTTTTCCTAATAGTGGAAAAGGATATGTTGAAATATTGATTTTTCAACATGATCTCTTTCCTTGCTTCTTTTTCTTCTCCTGAATTCAGTCATGAATATTTAATCATTTAGATTGAAAATTATTCAGAAAAATCTGAGTTAATAAATATCTGAAGTTACAGACTTTTTGATCCACACTCACATATTTACCTTCTTCATATTTTATGCATTTATCTTGAACTTTTCTGAAATTCCTTTTGCTGTTTCCCAAATAAAAATCTCTTCTAATGCATTTTTCTTTATTTATTTCAGTTCATCCAACTCTGCATTTATTCTTAGAACAACTTTGGACTTTGGCACTTCAGAAGATTTTCATCAGAAATTCAATCAGGAAGTAAAATATTTTCATTTGATAATTTGAAGAATATTGTCTTTTATTCAAAAACATTTTTGTTTATTTTTGGGTTTTGTTTTTTAAAATGGTGTAAACTACATTTTATAGATTAAAATAGTAAAACTTTATTTACAAATTTTAAATTTTATTTTTTATTTCAAACTAAATTTTAAAATATTAACAATTTTATTTAAAACTTAATTTTAAATTAAAATTTTTAATTAAAAATATTTTTTAATAATATAAATAAACTAAAATTTAAAATATTTTGGTTAAAAATTACAAAAGGATTATTTCTGAATTTAGAAAAGTATTTTCAATTTGAACTTTTAATAGGACATTTTAACTTAAATACCAAAATTTAAAAAGTTAAAAGATTTCTATGAAAATTCATAGAAATCATTTCAATTTTTTGTTAAATTTTGATATTTAAGTTAAAATGTCCTATTAAAAGTTTCAGTTTTCTATGAGTTTTAATCAATAAAAACAGTTTTTTGAGAGAAAAATAAAAAATGTATTTTTGATTCTATTTAAGATTTTATTTGCCTTCTCATGATAAAGGAATTTCTCAGTTTACTCTTAAGTAATGATTGAAATCATAATAAAATTGTTTTTGTCTTTGCAATTGTTTCAAACTTTTGTTTAATAAATTATTATAAATAATATGGGTTATTTGTTACTGATTTGGTAAACCATCTATTGTATAGATTTCTAGAATCTTCCAGAGAACCAAAACATTATCTTGATATTTTTATTTGATGAAGTAGCTCTTTCTACTTTTTGTATTGATTCTATCTTAAACACTAGTCGTCAAGAGAATTTTCAGCATAATTCTTGTGCAATATTTTAGTAAGCATAAAACATGATGGAATTGTTTATGGTCAATACTTCTACCTAGGGTCAGAGTATTTATCTGAATCTAAGTGTCACTAAGGGTCACTGCCTCAAATCAGTTTAGTATATGTGCATTTTATGAAAAATGATATACAAACACATATGGTGACACACTAAATCCAGGATAGAAAAAAACAGTTTATTGTTTTATTTACCTACATATAAAATAAGTACACATATAATAAGTACTTACCTCAAATATGAGGTAAAGTTTCAATACATTTCTATAAGATTATAAAAGTTTTAAAAAAATATTCAATATCCTATACAATGCTAAATTTAAAAAAGCCTAATAATTTGTGGATTTGTGTTTGTTCACACAATAAGTAGCCATTAGCTTCAAAAACTCATCTGCTGATATTGTTCGATCACTTTTCAAGGTAGATCTTTGTTTTGCTCAAATTACTAGTCTGACAAGCATGAGCACACTTTTTCAATGGAGTTTCAGGTCAAGGACTGGGACACCTCAATAGGTTGCCCCATGCCACTATATTTCAACATCACCAGTTGTGTTGTTTGGCAGTATGTTAAAAACTTAATTATAATGCAATTACAACATTTCTTACATACTTTTTTACAGTGTAGATAAACTATTTATTAATTTATTGAATTTTTTCTTGAAAATTATTGGGATTATTGTTTCTACTGAAACACTCAATTATACTTCATATTTAAAGCCTTGACTGATTATAAGGTGGTTGGTTCTTGTTTAATATAGTTCAATACAGGTTCCATTCATGCATCCTTCAATTATGTGAAGTCATTGTGTACTATGTGATAAAAAACAGTGTCAGTACTATTACATTGGTGCCATCACGCTTCAGAACTGGACTGATGTTCTTTGACTTGAATTCTTCATTCTTCATCCTCCACACATGATGTGAATTGAAGCCAAGTAATTCTTTTGGGGTCTCATCAAACCAAAGTAGTTATCTAACTTATATAAATGCTCCTTAGCAAACTTTAGATGTGCCTACCTACATTTTTTTTTCAAATGTGATACTTATCTTACTCTACAAGTTTACAAGTGAAGCTGCTGGTGGAGTGTGCTGCTGACAGCTTGAATTGAAAATGTTTTTCTGTTACTTGATCTTCTACCAACTGCAAGTATATCTTTGCTGCTTCTTTACCATTCTAACAATCCTGCTTGCAGTATGGCTGGAAATCTTCCAATGGATAACAGTCACTGTTGAGACAGATTTCTTTCACTTATGAACTAACAAATCAATGAAAAATAAATAAAATTGTAGCTCTTTACCAATTGCTTTGTAACCTTTAACTTTATAATAAAGACTAACTATAGTAATTCTGAAGTCTGTAGAATGTTCCTTAGTTTTTTGGTATTATGGTTACTACTGCAATTGTAGTTAGCAGTCAAATGATACCATCATCCCAAAAATGTTAACTACTACCTAGAATGTTCTAGAATAACCTACAGCTGTTTAGAAATAACCATTTACATTTTCCAGCAATATTAGTTCACTGTTTTTATGAATGCTTATTGAAGACTGTTTTGGCTTTATATCTTTTAAACATATCTTTTATAATTTTATATATATGTATATGTTAAAAGTTTTTTTATTGTAAAAATGTGGTGTAATTTTGAGATAAATACTTTTTGCATATGTAGGTAAATAATAAAATGTTTTTTTGTGATGTGTATTGAATACTTATTGTCTTTACTGTATATTTGGATATTTTCAATTATTTATACATAAATAACCCACCATTTTTTAATGGGTACTATATAAGTAAATATATAGTTGACTTCTGTCACCAAATGATAGCTATATTTTGTGATGATACTGCACTTATTATAAACTATCAAAAATGTTATGTTACTTTATAGTTTATTGCTTATGTTCAGTATTTATTGAATATAAAACTAAGCAAATAACATTAAAGATGGTGGCATCAGCTATGCTGGTAAGTGAAGAATACAGGAAAAAGGAAAGGAAAAAGAAAATTAAATGATTGGAAAAGAAAGAAAGAAAGAAAGAAAGAAGAATTCCTGAATATATTTGAATTTTTTTTTTTAAGAAAAATAACTAAATAACATATTTAAATCTATGTATATTTAATGTAGTGTTTTTAAATAAATAAATAAAAGCAAATATTCCTTGAAATAATATAGTCTTCATTTGCAAAAAGATTTTCATGAGTTATTGAGCACGTCTTATCTGACTTAAAACATTAAAAGAAAAATACCTAAGAAAACTAACACAAAACAAAAGGAAGAAAAAACAATGTATTAGCAATCTTTGTTATTGCAAGATGAGATATGCATCAGTGTTATGAAATATGTCATTATCTTAAATAGAAGAGACAAGTAGGCATAATCAATAGATATATAATGTCACATTTTGTTTTATATTGTAGAATATATTTTTCTCTTGTACATCATTTACACTTTTAATTTTTATGTTGCATGAATTCAAAAATTTCATTACCATTCAATAGAAAACATCAACCATTCTATCATTTTTCTTTCCAATTTAGGAAACACCTCAATTACTCACAAATATGCTGAAGAAGTTCTACACGTTACATTTTAGGTGGCATGTTTTCTAATGGGTTTTACAATTTCAAGCTCATATAACAATTGAATATTGAATATGAAGGACCTGGTCATTTTTAAGGAGCACACTGTCTCATTGTGTCATTGTGGTTGGTGGCTCATACAATGTGCCATTTTGTTTCCTGTATCCCTTTGGAAGCTACCATGTTAATGTTCTCAAAAAAGAAATAACACTGTTCAAATTGGTGTATGCAATGTAACATTGCATTAGATCGTCTTCCATTTATGATTAACTAAAGGTCTGTTCTCAAAAAACCTAGCACAGCAAAGGGAGGCATACATAACAAATGTACAACCTTATGATGAAAAAAAATACATTTATTTTACATAACAAATACTTATTTTTAAACATAATCTCCACTCTTAAACATTATACAATTATTTTAGTAAATAATAATGGTGTGGTGTAGCCACAGTATTTAATCATTATTGTGAGTTTTAAAAAATATTATGATTTACATAAATGTATACTTAAATATTTTTTTCTTTCAGCCAGGAACAAAGCATAGTATTAGGTATTTTCATGTATGTCTGCACCCTAACATTATTTCTCTTTTTTTATTTAATAAATTAACTTGTTCTTTAAATATAGCTATGTCTAATTTTCCTCCTGGTATAATGGGCAAATCCCACTTTATAGCTTTTAGCTTTTTTTTTAAGTTTTCCAATTGATAATGGGGACATTACTTTTATATTTATTTATGAAAATGAAGCACTACTTAATTTAATATCATTTTTATTAAAAATACTGTGCAAGGCAGATTTCTTAGAGAAATGTTTTCTAGTAGTTTTAAAAAATTACTCCAAATTTGGTTTTCACTGGCAAATTGAATGATGGTGTAAACCAAATCCCATTTCTTTTCCTAGTGTTTTCATTCATTTTTCTCATGTTCCATTTCCCTATATTTTATATAACATTTATGTCCCACCAATGCCATTACAGCTTCATAATCACCCTTTACTTAATTGAATATCATTTCAACTTGGTTGATAACCTATACCTTTGTTTCAGTATGCTTTTGATGTGGTTGGACAATGTATTTACATAGCACAATGGTGTATTTAATTTCCTTAAGGTCATTAGGCCATAGAGGTAATGTCTACATATTCAAAAACCTTATGGTTTATTTCCACTTCAAGTTTCAAACCAAGTTCTTTTAAAACTCATAACATTTTTCTCACAATGTCATTTTTCTATGTGTACTATGAGCCCATCATTTATATATTGGCAGTTGTTTTCTTTATCGACAATTTTGCTTTTGTTTGATTGGATAGTGATTCTTGAGTTTTTAACCAATAGAAATAAAATGTTTATGTTCCCTAAGTTTGGGTTTTTGATCTGGTTGGAGTCATGTGTTTGCTATATAAGAGGGGACAATTTCACTGCAAAGTTAGAAAGGAATAGACCATATCTGGATGAGAAAGATGATGTCTGCGTAGACAGGATTGATCATTTCAGGTGTGTACAGTCTG